GGACCTAAGTCAGCACCCTATGCCAAATTTCGCGCAAATCGAATTATATATAGGGGCTTTAGTACACCATTTACATAAAATCGGACGTAAATTCGGACTAATATATATATATGGGTGCTATATCTAAATCTGAACCGATTTCCAGGAAACTTAACACACGTCATTCTAGACTCAATTGAGAACACCGTGCCAAATTTCGTGAAAATCGAAAGATATATAGGGACCTTAAATCTGACGAACATATATATGAGAGCTATATCTAAATCTGAACCGATTTTTCTCAATTTCAATAGGGTTTGTCCTTGGGCCAAATAGATGAGCTGTGCCAAATTTCTTCCAAATCGGATCATAAATGCGACCTATACTTTGTTTACAATTTAACATCTACAGACGGATGGACGGTCGGACATGCATAAATCGACTCAGAACGTGATTCTATGCTTTTTCTCAAAAGGAACCATGTTTGTATCTCGTTTCCTTTTGCCAGTTACAAACATATGCACAAAGACCTGTACCACAGAGTGGTGTAGGGTATAAAAAAACTGAAATACCAAAACTAAATTGATACCTAAATTTTGATGTCATTTTTCCAGAATCTTAAATTAAAAATAAATTTGAAAAATGATTCTCACATATCAAAATTTTTTTTTAAATATTTCTTCGAAGTCATTAATAAGCGTGGATGTTTAAAATATTTTTGAAAACATGTTTCGAAGTAAAAATCTTGCCATCCACGTTGCACTGGATTTTCGCAAACTATTTCGGTTTTCGTGAGGGAAGATTTGTGTAATCTTCAAAATATTAATGGCAATGAACCCTGACGTCAAAACATAAATAAAGATAAATCGTCAAAACTACAACCTCATTCACGGTTAATGATTGTCGTATTCACACACACACACACACACACACACACACACACCCGAACTACTCCACAAAATACAATCAAAAAAGAAAAAAATCACTGCCGATGTTTCGGCAGTTTAATTTTGTTTTATTAACTGAACTACCCATCGCCATCGATAAACGTGTGTTTCAAATTTTTTTATTTCAAGTTACGCTGATGTCTTGAATATTGAATATTTATGAAAATTTTGCTCTAATTTAACAATTAACAAATCCGTAATGGAAGAGAAGACCAAAAAAAATACACAACAAACAAAAATAAAGCGTGGCTTGTCTGTTCAATCGGGTGTATAAATAATTTAATTTAATGTTTTTTTGTTTTCGAAATGTTATAATTATGTTTATGCGGTATGATAGGTGGGTTTCCCCACCCCCTCGATCCACCAACGCGACATGAAAATATTTCTTGTGTTAATTCAACCTTTTTGTCTATGAATTCGCTTCCTCTAGGTAGTGCAACTGAAATGCACAATTTTTTTCAGTTTCACATGCATTGCAATGCAGAAGAGGTTTCAATTTTTTTAGTGGGATTGATTGTTTTTAAGTTTTATTTTGATAACATATTTAAGTATTCCGTTGTATTGTATTCCGTTTAGACAATTGCCCATTAAAGTGAAATGCATTTCGGCTACTTTGCATATTCAATGCAATGACATTTTTTTGGTGATGGGAATTCGAAATGCATTTTTTTTTGAAATTAGGGAAAAACCTAGAAGAAGTAAAAGTTACAAAAAAAAAATAAAAATTAAAGAGTAAAAGTTTCGGAAAAAACTACTTAAAAAAATCTACGCTTATTGGTCTCTGAAAAAAATATTTAAAAAATCTACGCTTATTGGTCTTTAAAAAAATACTTAAAAAATATATAAACCAGTAAGGAAAGTAGTAAAGTCGGATTGGGCCGACGATATGATACCCTTTACCACCTTGGGTATATTCAACAGATGAATCCTAACAGACGTAGCATTTTTAAAGGACCAGTAAAATGAAATTGCATCATTCGGCAACCGATACTAAATTGTTCATTTGGTCAGATATAGAAGCTATATCTATATCTGAACCGATTTCAGGAAACTTAACACACATTATTCTAGGCCTAATTCATTACGCTGTGCCACATGACGTGCAATTCGGAAGATATATAGGAGCTTTGGTAGGCCCATTTACCTTAAATCGGAAGAAAATATAAATGTGAGCTATATCTAAATATGAACCGAATTTCACGAAATTTGGCACATTTAATTCTGGTCCTATTTCAGTACGCTATGCCAAATTTCGTGCAAATCGAAAGATATATAGGGACTTCGATGCACCATTTACATAAAATCGGACGAAAATATATATGGGAGCTATATCTAAATCTGAACCGATTTTCACAAAACTTAACATATGTAATTCTAGACTCAATTCAATGCGCTATACCAAATTTCGTGCAAATCGAAAGATATTTAGAGACTTTGGTCCACCATTTATATAAAATCGGACAAAAATATATATGGGGGCTATATCTAAATATGAACCGATTTTCACGAAACTTAGCACACATCATTCTATATCTAATTCATTACGCTGTACCAAATTTCGTGCAAAGCGAAAGATATATAAGGTCTTTGGTACACCATTTACTTAAAATCGGACGAAAATATATATGGGAGCTATATCTAAATCTGAAACGATTTTCACGAAACTTAGCACACGTTATTCTAAACTTAATTCAATACGCTATGTCAAATTTCATACAAATCGAAGGATAGATAGGGACTTTGGTGCACTATTTACCTAAAATCGGATAAAAGTATATATGGGTGATATATCTGAATCTGAAGCGATTTTCACGAAACTTAGCACACATCATTCTACACTTAATTCAGTACGCTGTGCCAAATTTCGTACAAATCGAAAGATGTATAGGGGCTTTGGTGCTCTATTAACATAAAATCGTATGAAAATATATATGGGAGCTATATCTAAATCTGAACCGATTTTCACAAATTTCAATAGGGTTCGTCCTTGGGCCAAATAAGTGACTTGTGCCAAATTTCTTCCAAATCGGATCATAAATGCGACCTGTACTTTGTTTACAATTTTACATCTAGAGACGGATAGTGGCCCATTTACCTTAAATCGGACAAAAATATATATGTGTACCCGTTTTTTTTTTTAGAAACTTGGTACATATCATTCTGGACCTATTTTAGTACGCTATGCCAAATTTCGTGCAAATCGGAAGATATATAGGGACTTTGGTGCATATATCGGACGAAAATATATATATCAGCTATATGTAAATCTGAACCGATTTTTTCCCAATTTCAATAGGGTTCGTCCCTGGGCCAAATAAATGTGCTATGCCAAATTTCATCCAGGCGGACGGACGGACTCAGAAAGTGATTCTATGGAATTCATTCTACCCGTTACAAACATATGCACAAAGACATAATACCCTGTACCGCAGCGGGGTGAAGGGTATATATATATATAAAAACCAGTGAGCGGAGCAGTATAGTAGGACGGGGCCGACCATACGATACCCTACACAACTACCACGGAACTCAAACTTTCTGCGCAGGTTTATTCCGAGCCTGGGCAATATTTCGTGATATTTTGCACCCTCTTGCCCGATTAGAGGTAAACAGCACCTCTTCCTTACATTGACATATTTTACAAATATTACGAGTATTCAGTACAGCTCTGGTCCAGATTCCCTTCACAGTGGGTTGTGTTGTGGTGTTCGGCTTTCAATTGTGACCTGTAGATCGACTCGGAAATAACACAAAAAATTATGTTTTTGGTCCACTCCATTACAAAATTATTATCTGACTATAGGCGTTGTCCTTGACCATAACTGGAACCTCATGGAACATTTCAAAGCGCTCAGCGTTATATTTGCGCTCTCTAGAGTGATAATGGGTTACTAAATAATATGCGAATACAGAGATACCTGTAAATATTTAGGTGTAACTCCCACATCCGAGCACAAAAATTTAATTGGTATAAATTTAAAGATCAACCACTCCTCTTGGATATAATATCAACTTCTCGGGTCTATGTCCTTCAGGGGTAGATATATATGCTATAGAATACAGATTTTGTAATTTTTCACACAAAACTCAGGTTTCATTTGACCCGCTAAATATTGACCTATGCTTAACAAAGAATTCATGTTTATTCTTTGGCCCGATGCCCTCGTCCATGTAAGGGCATGTTCGGGGTATAATTGCGGCCTCTGGAGCGACCAGAAAACCAGACAAAAATAAAGTAAATATTAACCGATATTTACCAAAAATAATTGGGGTCTTCATTGGTCAAATCCCATCCTACATGCAAAATTTCGCGAAGATTGGGCCATAACTGTGGACTATATCGTGTTTACAAATTATAATGGACAGACGGGCGGACACACATGTCTAGATCGACTCAGCTAGTCGAGATATGACGATCGGTATACTTAAAGGTGGGTCTAGGACCAATATTGCGCGGCGTTACAAACTCTTGGGGCTGCCCAGAGTTATAATACCCTAACAACATAGTTGTGAAGGGTATAAATATGCATGGATTCTTGGATTCTATTTTTGGTCCCCAAAAAAATTATCTAGAAAATCCGCTCCTATTTTTGGTCCCCAAAAAAATTATTTAAAAAATACACCCCATGTTTTGATCACAAAAAAAAAATTATTTAAAAAATAATTTCAGAAATTCACACATAATTGGTGTATGAAAAAATAATTAAGTGCTTGTATATGTGTTCTAAAATTAATTATCTGAGAATGGGTCATGTAAAGTCTGTAATCTGAATAAAGCATGCAAACAAAGCTCACGTGTCGTATTATTACAAATGTTTGGTATATTCCCTGTTAGCACCCAATTAATATAAATTAAGGTCCGACAATAGCGTTTAATTATTATTAAAAAAGTTTTCACTAAAATTACAATGGAAGTATTAATCGCAGTTGGAATAATAATAACGCTGATGATCTCTACAAAATTAGTTGAGGCATCCTTAATACCCTTAAAGGCAAGAATTATTTTTTAAAATAAACATTTTTACATATTTTTCCTAATCTATTTTACTACACCAGCAAACCTGGACCTATGAAATGAAATCCATAGAAACCCATTCGGATAATCCGGATTTGGTGAGTTTCCACGACTTCAAAGTGGAGAGGATACGTCGTGGTGTCTATGCCGCTTCGGGGAGATTTATACAAAATTTTGATATTGTGGAAGGTGATGATTCGGAGGTTAACCCAAAGGACATTTTTTTTCTACTTAGAAACCAATGAAAATGTTCCCTTCTGCTTCTGCTTTATAGATTGAATTCCTTTCGTATCGCAGTGAAAATGGTGTTCGCCCCTATAGGCCCCTACCATTTAGGGTGCAACGTCAACATTTCTTTTCATATTTGAATTCATTTTATCGTCTGATAATGGATACCCTGAAGGATTGTTCCAATATGCCGGTGTTTGAGGATAAATTTCAGCCTCCATTTGAAAAGAAAACCTACATCTTGGACAAATGCCAATTTAATCAGGAAGAATTTCCACAACACCTGCAGGAGGGGTTCTATAAAATTGTGGTCAATGGTTATGGTGCTGCCAATTGGAATTTGATTTTAGTAGTTCAAGTTCAAAATGAGTGGTGAAAATAAATATTTTGAAAGACGTGTATATTATAAATCAATGTTTTCGAAATCATAAATAGGCGTGGATTTTTATATAATTTTTTTCTAAATCATTTGTTGTTTTTGTTATTCAAGACCAACGATAGGCGTGGATTTTTAAAATAAGTTTTCCAGAGACCAATACTAGTCGTGGATTTTTAAAATATTTTTTTCGTGACCAAAAGAGGCGTGGATTTTTATATAATTTTTTTCTAAATCATTTGTTGTTTTTTTATTCAAGACCAACGATAGGCGTGGATTTTTAAAATATTTTTTTAGAGACCATTATTCAATCGCATTTTAGATAATATTTGTGAATGGCGCCCAACGTGGGATATCAGCTATTTATTTATTCATCCGAGACAGACTCAATGAATTTAATTCGGGATTTCCATTTCAATAGAAATTGTTTATTCTACAGAATAATTGATATTCCCAACTTCCTCCGATTAAAGATATTTTTCAATCATCGTTTTATGTAACATTTGAAAATGGCGCCCAACGTTATTCTCTTTATTATGGAGTAAATATGTTATTTTCATACATTTGTGAATGGCGCCCAACGTAGGATATCGTCTATTTCTTTTTGCATCTGAGACGGACTCAATGAATTCAGTTCGAGTGCTTCCTTTTCAATTGAATCACTGAAAATGTTGTGATGGTCTCTTGGATTTTTTTTCCAGTTACCCAATAGGCGTAGATTTTTAAAATAAATTTTCTACAGACCAATAATATTTTTGAAATATTTTTTTTCGCTTTACTAACAACTCCGCCTCTTGTCAACAAGTCATATCAGCCACTATTACAATTTAAATGGATTCTTTAAACAAAAAATCTGAATCATACCACATGAACAATTTCTAGGAAATTCCAACACGATTAAATAAAGAATTGAATTATGACATAACGTGACAACTAAAATCAAGATCAGTTCAGTTTCTTGTCTTCATCGTATCAATTCAAAGAAATGTTGAAACGTGTTCTGAACGATTTGCGGTATTGCTTGAAAAAAAAAAAAATATATTCTGCAAGCATAGGCAGCCGGGTAATTTAAGAGATCTTTGCTATTGTGATTTTTATTTAAGAACAATAAAAAAAAACAATTTATTTAGTAAGACAAGATACAAAGGCAATAACTGAAAAGATTTATCGAAGTGTGTATAGAATTCAAATTGGTGTAAAATGGAAAAAATGGTAATTCACAGAAGAAACTTCGAATATTAAGGAAATCTAAAATACAAAGCTTGTGGCCCGAATCTTTTGATCTGAAAACAAATAAAAATGCACGCCTGTTTGTAGCCAACCAAAAAAAAAAAAATAATTAAAAAATACATGCCTATTATTGATATCGAAAAAATATTTAATTTCTATTACTGATCTCATAAACAACATTTTAAAAAATCCACGCTTATTTGTATCCTTGGAAGAAAAAAATAATAAAAAAAATCCACGCCTATTTGTAGCCCTCGAAAAAAAAATATTTAAAACCAGTAAGGAAAGTAGTAAAGTCGGACTGCCTTTGACCGTCTATATGATACCCTTCACCACTTTATGTATGTTGAACATATCCTGTATCCTAATAATTTCTTGTCAATGTTCTCTCGAAGGGACGTACACTTTTCTGCAACCTATGCTAAATTTAGTTTCAATCGGGCAGATTTAGAATTGTTTGCGTAAAATGGGAACAATTTATGGAAATCGATTTACAGCAAACTGTATACATGCTACTCAGACACCCGTTCGAAATATATATGATACGTTGTGAAAAATTTCGTGTCAATCCGACAAACATTAGGAGTTTGGTGCACCATTTACCTAAAATCGGACCAAAATATATACGTGGGACCTATATCTAAATCTGGACAGATATTCTCGAAACTAAAGAAACCTCATTTTAGACTCGATTCAGTACGATATGCCAAATTTGGCAGAAATCGAAAGATATATATGGGCTTTGGTACACCATTTACCTTAAATCGGGCGAAGCTATATATAGGAGCTATATCTAAATCTGCACCGATTTTCACGAAATTTAGCACACATCGTTCTAGACATAATTCAGTACGCTATGCCAAATTTCGTGTCAATCGAAAGATATATAGGGGCTTTGGTGCTTCATTTACTTTAAATCGGACGAAAATATATATGGGTGCTATATATAAATCTAGACCGATTTTCAGGAAACTTAACGCATACCATTCTAGACCTAATTTATTACGCTATGCCAAATTTTGTGCAAATCAAAAGATTTATAGGGACTTTGGTGCCCAATTTACCTTAAATCGGACGAAAATATATATGGTAGCTATATCTAAATCTGACCTGATTTTCTCGAAACTTGACACACATCATTCCAGGCTCAATTCAGTACGCTATGTCAAATTACGTGCAAATCGAAAAATATATTCGGGCATTGATGAACCATTTGTTTTAAATCGGACGAAAATATATATGGGAGCTGTATCTAAATCTGAACCGATCTTCACGAAACTTAACACACATCAATCTAGACCTAATTCAGTACGCTATGCAAAATTTCGTGCAAATCGAAAGATATATAGGGACTTTGGTGCCCCATTTAACTTAAATCGGACGAAACTATGTACGGGAGCTATATCTAAATCTGAACCGATTTTCACGAAATTTAACATACATCGTTTTAGACTTAATTCTGTACGCTTTGTCAAAATACGTGCAAATCGAAAAAATATATTCGGACTTTGGTGCACCATTTATGTAAAATCGGTCGAAAATATATATGGTAGCTATATCTAAATCTGAACGGATCTTCACAAAACTTTGCACACATCATTCTAGACTCAATTAGGTGCGCTGTGCTGAATTTCATACAAATCGAAAGGTATTTAGGGACTTTGGTGCAGCATTTACCTTAAATCGGACGAAAATATATATGGGAGCTATATCTAAATCTGACCTGATTTTCTCGAAACTTGACACACATCATTCCAGGCTCAATTCAGTACGCTAAGTCAAATTACGTGCAAATCGAAAGATATTTAGGGACTTTGGTACACCATTTACATAAAATCGGACGAAAATATATATGGGAGTTATATCAAAATCTGAACCGATTTTTAGGAAACTTAACAGACTTAATTCAGTACACTATGCCAAATTTCGTGCAAATCGGAAGGTATATAGGAACTTTGGTACACCATTTACATTAAATCGGACGAAAATATATATGGGAGCTATATCTAAATCTGAACGGATCTTCACGAAACTTAGCACGTATCATTCCAGGCTCAATTCAGTACGCTATGTCAAATTACGTGCAAATCGAAAGATATTTAGGGACTTTGGTACACCATTTACATAAAATCGGACGAAAATATATATGGGAGTTATATAAAAATCAGAACCGATTTTAGGAAACTTAATTCAGTACCCTATGCCACATTTTGTGCAAATCGAAAGCTATTTATGGACTTTTGTGCACCATTTATCTTAAATCGGACGATAATATATATGGGAGCTATATATAAATCTGAACCGATTTTTACGAAACTTGGCACACATCATTCTGGATCTAATTCAGTACCCTCTGCAAAATTTCGTGCAAATCGAAAGATATATAGGAACTTTGGTGCACCATTTACCATAAATCGGACGAAAATATATATGGGAGCTATATTTAAATCTGAACCGATTTTCTTGAATTAGGGTTTGTCCTTGGGCCAAATAAGTGACTTCATCCAAATCAGATCATAAATGCGACCTGTAGTTTGTTTACAATTTAACATCTACAGACGGACGCACGGACATGCATAAATCGACTTAGAAAGTGATCCTATGCGTATTCTCAAAAGGCACGATGTGTCTATCTCGTTTCCATTTGCCTGTTACAAACATATGCACAAAGACATAATACCCTGTAACACAGTGTGTTGAAGGTTATAAATACACGCCTATTTGTAGTCGTAAGCACCTGTAAATATTTAAGTGTAACTCCCACATCCGTGTACATACGACAATGTAATTGGAGTCATTTTGAAGGTTAACCATTCCTCTTGGATACACTAAATATATACGCCATAGAATACAAATTTTGTCATTTATCACACAAAAGTCAGGGTCCATTTGACCCGTAATTAATGACCGATCTTTATCCAATCGGGAATACTTATTCTTTGGCCTATCCCCTCCATGTAAAATTTCGCGATGTTCGAACCATACTTGCGGCCTCTAGAGCGATCAGAAATACCGACAAAATTAAGTATTTGGTCCATTTCATCCTCTAAATATTAACCGAGCTTTACCAAAAACAATAGGGGTCTTCATTGGCCAAAACCCTTCCTACACGCAAAATTTCGTGAAGATTGGTGCATCGTGTTTACAAATTATAATGGACAGACGTAGGGAGGGGCGAACGGACACACATGTCTAGATCGCCTCAGCTAGTCAGAAATACCGACAAAATTATACTAAAAATGGGTTTAAAATATTTCACGTCGTTATATATTTTTGCTGCACAAAGCTATTACCCTGACAATATATTTGTGTAAGTCCCTTTTGGTCAAAATTTTTAAAAATCAACTCCTATCATTGAGGAATAACCTCAACATCCATTGAATATCCACAAATAATCTCTATTGATGACAACCTGCATGCTTAACCTGTCCAAAGAAGATTTATAAAATGTCAAACTATTTGTTTGTTGTGCCACGAAGAAACAAAAAAAAAAATATCAAAAATTTTGGGCTACGAAAAAATCTGCAATATTTTCGTGGTGGTGGTGTTGTTATTGGTTGAGCTGTGATTTGTTGTTTTACAAGAAATTATTGTTAACGATTTTTTTTTTCGAACAGAAATACTGTTGTTTCCCCAATCAAAAAAAAAAATTGAAATCTCGCGAATGAAGAAGAAGGAAACCAGTCTTTTAGGGTGTGCTTGTCCGTCCGTCTGTCTGCCTGTTCGTTCATTTGTTCAGTTGTCGCCTTTTTGGGTTGCTTCTATTCAAACAAATGAAATGTAAGCAATTTTAAATGCTCTGACAGTAATTTTTGTTACTCGTTTCTTAGTTGCAGTTTGTTGTTGTTTTTATTACCGTTGTTGTTGTTTTTTTAATTTAAATTTTATCCCTCCCCACCAAAACAAAACCATCACGGCGGTGGTGTTAATGTCTAAGGCGTTATTGCTGCTGCGCATGTGCGGCATTCTGCTGCTGTCAACAGCAACAGAAAAATCACTGCTGACTGCATAGCGACTTGTGGCTTTTCAATATAACTCAGCCAGCCCGTCAGCCACCATCAGCTGCTGCTGCCACCGCCGACGACAAAACAGTGACTTGAATATCGAAACGAAACTCAATATATGTGTTTTTGTTTTTTTTTTCATTTTCAAGACATAAAACATACAAATTGTTTTCTTGAGTCTCTAGTCAAACCATCAACCATTAGTCGTTATTAAGAAGTTGTGCTAAGCTAACACGCTCTAAAGCTTTAGGGTCCAAGCCAAGTTAACATTAAGTGATTGGGAATAACAAAGAAAAAAAAAAAATCCAAATAATAGTAAACGAAAAAATATATATTTTTATTTAACAAAAAAATATATATAAAAATATTCCCAATAAGTGATTTAAAAAAAAATAAAATAAACACCAAATAAAAATAAACCGAAAACCTTAACAAAGGCTGATATTTTTAATCAATTTTTTAACAAAGAAAACTAAATCAAAACTAAATCCAACAAAATGAAATTCTTTAACATGTGAGTGTTTGTAAAATTTTTATATATATAAATTATTAAAATAAATTAAGAAAAAAGCTAAAGTTAAAAGAAAAATTAAAGCATTGTCTAATGTTTGTGTCTTAAGTCCTTTGTTTTGTAAGCGAACAGAAAAGCAATGGAGTTAAAATTATTAAAAAAACGGGCTATTTTTATATTTTTGGGATAGAGGGGACAAGGAATTCCCCATGTCCCCTTACCACCCGCACAATTTTCCAATTTTTTAAAGGATATTTGACAAGCGTATATATATATACATATATATGTTTTCAGGGACCCAGAAATTCCTTCCTTTAGTATTTTTCACAATCACAAAATACAAAAAAATACTATTTTTTCATAGCATATCAGGTTGAATGTCCGCATATTTGTCTTGATGTTTAAATGTCGGTGGTATTTTAAAAAAATCCAATCTTAGGGAGGATTTTTTGATTTCTTTTTTTTTTGAAGAGTTACATTAATGGGTAACCTGATTGATTTTTTTATTTCTGTTTCCTCATGATTTTTTTTAAGTTCCCGCTATAGGGTATTCGTTAAAAAAGTATTTTGTTTAATTTTTAGAACTAATGGGCAAACTTTTTAAAAATAATAATCCATTTTTATTATTATTAATATTAGGGAATATTAAGGAAATCTCAAATACAATGTTTGTGGCCCAAATCGTTTGATCTGAAAACAAATAAAAATGCACGCCTGTTTGTAGCCATCGAAAAAGGTATTAAAAAAAACCTTTGCCAATTGGAAGCCTTTGAAAAAAAATATTTAAAAACTAGCTCTCGAAAAAAAATATTTAAAAGATTCACGCCTATATTGAAAAATGCACGTCTATTATTGGCCCCGAAAAAATATTAAAAATTTCCAGACCTTTTAAATCCATATTCATAGGATTTTTTTGAAAAAATATTTTTTGGAGAATAATTTTTTAATTGTATATTAAAATATATTGAAAATATCGATGACATATCAAAAAGTGGACCTATACCGAAATGTGTAAAAACGGATTATGTAAACCATAATATAAATTTCAGAAAATTTTAATGGGTAAATATACCCTCAGACTTATGGCTGATGAGGGTGTATACACTTTAACACGGTAAAAATGTGCCTCACCGAAATATTGGTTCTAGACCCCATGTTCCTTTGGACCAAATCCCTTTTCAGAAAATTTTGATTTCATTCAAACTTTGCCCATATTATTATTACTTCCAAACTTAGTTCAAATTCGAAGATGGGGAATATCGGTTCACTCCTTTTGGAACCTCCACACAGGGGCTATGCATAAATGCGGGCTATAGTTCATTATCGAACCTTACGTTCTAATTTTTTATCTCGCTATCCTCCGCTGGTGAAATTATTACAACAGAGTCTTAGAACCGTACTCAAAACGCAGAATAAATCATATAACTATTTTAATATAAAAAGTAGGTTATATGGGGACTACCCCAAAAAGGGGGCGAATATTAATAATTTTTGGTAGGGAGATTTGTTACCATATACGACTACAAAATACCAAATTGCAGCAAATTCGGTTGAAAACGTGCTCAAGAAGCCCAAAATACCGAAAATTAGGTAGTCCTCCTAAATGGGGGCTATCCGAAAAAATGGACCTATATTTATAATTTTTTGTGGAGACATTTAGTACCCAATAAGAACCCAATGTAGCAAATTTCAGCGAATTCAGTTAAAAAATGCGCTCAAGAACCCCCAAATACCGAAAATGGGGGATACCCTTATATGGGGGCTACCAGAAAAAGTGGACCTATATTTATAATTTATTGTGGAGACATTTAGTACCCACTAAGAACCCAATGTAGGAAATTACAGCGAATACAGTTAAAAAATGCGCTCAAAAAATTCCCTTATATGTGAGCTATGCCTAAACGTGGACCGTTGACCTGCCTGCAGACAAAAGACGACTCAATGCACAATGTGGGCTATCTATCTCAATTCGTTTAGAGGCTAAAGTGATTACAACAAACAGACGGACATGGCTATATCGTCATAGAATTTTACGCTGATCAAGAATATATATACTTTATAGGTTCGGAAATGATTATATCGATGAGTTACAAACGGAAAAACAAAATTAATATACCCTCTATACTATAAAAATATAATTATAACGGATTCACCATTCGATCAACATATTTTTTTTTTTGTCAAAGACCATTTGTAGGCAGGTACCAGAAGAAGCTGCCCTATAGATTCCAATTTCATATTTAATGTTTGGATGATTTTTAAATTTTGTTGGGTCTTGGGCAAAAATTCAAACATTCTAGACTCTCCGTTAGATTTGAACAAAAACAATATTTTTTAACTGTGTTTTTTTTTTGATTTATTAATTTTTTATTTTTTTTTAATTTAATATATTTTTTTTTGATTTTTTAATTTTGTTGGGTCTTGAGTCAAAATTCAAACATTCTAGACACAACAACATTTTTAACAGTTTTTTTATTTTTAATTTTTTTTATCAAAAAAAAACTTTATGGGACCCACATATTTTTTGGATTTTATATTTTGTTGGCTCTTTGCCAAAAGTTCAAACATTCTATCCTCTCCGTTAGACGATACGTTGGTAACCACAACAACATTTTTAACTGTATTTTATATTTTTTATTTATTTTTTTTAAGTAAAAAAATTCAACATTTTGGGACCCACATATTTTTTCTCATTATCTGGGCTTACCACCCCTTCACTTTAAATGTGCCAAATAATAAATAATCTTAAAGCCGTCTATAATGTATAGCTAAATAACAATTAGCTCTATTGTCCTAAAGGGCAATGGACAACATTAAAAGATTTACATAAAGCACTTGTCATTGCTGTTGTTGTTTTTGTTTTTCTTATTCTTCTTCTCCTTGTAATTATGAACAATTTATCGATCACTTGAGGTTTCGATTAACTGACCAGAAATCTCAACTTTTCTCTGGGGCCATAATGTGTCATTTTTGATTATAAATTACAATAACATAAAAAAGAAACAATAACAACAAAAAGGTTGCAGCAGCAGCAACAAGACCAAAAGGCAAAAACTCTAACTGATCTTTCAAGGTCGTTTGGATCAACTTTTAGAGAAGTGTCAATCACACACATACATACCTATGTATGTATACATATGTATATGCATAAATGTATGATAAAGGCATGCGTGTACTAAATGGTCAATTGGTGTCTTTTCTTCTTCTTCTTCGTCGTCTTGACAATGCAGATGTTTGATGGCAAAACAAAGTTGTTGTTGTTGTTGTGTGGACCTCTTGATGTACCATTTGGCTGCTGGGCCATTGGCTTGAGTCAAAGCTGCCGGTGTTCCACCATTACCATTATATACATACATATTTTCGTTATTTATAACTTGATATTTGGGTTCTTGTTGTATGTGTGTGTGAGCCTTAGGTTTTTTTTGTTAATAAGTGACACCAAAAAATAAAAAAAAACATAAAATCATTTAAATAAAAAAACCCACTATCAAGGATTTATTTTTTTGGATTGGTTTCTTTTGAAAAAAAACTTGCTTTAAACGATTATTGATCGTTGCAGACCAAGAATGGTAATATTTATTTATTTTTTTTTAGATAAAAAAATATTAAATTAACAGCAATATGAATTTATGTATATAAAACTTGACTTATATATACAAATCACAACATGATCACATGTTATATTTTGCTAACTTGAATTTGAGAAGAAGAAAAAAAAAATACAACAACAAACAGATACAATAAAATATAAAACCATGAATTCAAAACCATTTTATGGCACTAAAAACTATTTAGATTAATTATCAAGCGTTAGTATGAAATTTGATTATGATTTCAAATTTAATTATGTTTTCAAATCTATAGTTTTTTTTTATAAAAACAAATATTATTGTTTTATGACAAGAAAAAAAGAAATAAATTAACTCAAATAAAGCTTTGATGATTTTTTTTTTTTCAAATCAAATATTATAAAAAAATATATGAGGGATTTTTTTACATATAAACAAATTTTATTTTCTACATATAAACAAATGCTGAGTTATTTTGGCTAATTGGAAAATATCATCCTAAATATCTTATTCAGCAATGCCTAAAAACTTTTTTCCCATTGGAAATATTTTTTTTCTCAGTAACTAAGGATTTTTCCAATAGGAAAATGACTAGAGAAATTTGTTGTATAGGAACAAGTTGACTTATTTCGTCCCAGGACGAATCCTATTGAAATTGGGAAAAATCGGTTCAGATTTATATATAGCTCCCATATATATATATATATATATATATATATACCATAGTCCCTATATACCTTTCGATTTGCACGAAATTTGGTGACCATAGTCCCTATATATAGCCTTATATATTGCACGAAATTTGCCATAATGTACTGAATTAAGATTAGAGTGATGTATGTCTGCTAAGTTTCGTGAAAATCGGTTCCGGTTTAGATATAGCTTCCATATATAATTTCGTCCGATTTAATGTAAATGTTGCACCAAAGTCCCTATATATCTTTCGATTTCCATAAAATTTTGCAAAGGGTACTGAATTAGGTCTAGAATGATGTCTGCCAAGTTTTGTGAAAATCGGTTTGGCTTTACATATTGCTCCCATATATAGTTTCGTCCGATTTTATGTTAATGGTGCACCAAAGCCCCTATATATCTTTCGATTTGCACGAAATTTGGCATAACATACTGAATTGAGCCTTGAGTGATGTCTGCCAAGTTTCCTGAAAATCGGTTCAGATTTAGATATAGCTCCCATATATATTTTCGTCCGATTTAAGGTAAATGGTGTACCAAAGTCCCTATATATCTTTCGATTTGCACGAAATTTGTCACAGCGTAATGAATTAGGAGTAGAATGATGTGTGTTATGTTTCCTAAAAATCGGTTCAGATTTATATATATAGCTAACATATATATTTTCGACCGATTTAATGTAAATGGTGGACCAAAGTCCCTATATATCTTTCGATTTGCACATTTTTATATAGTCTGGAA